TTTTTTTTTTTAATTTTTCATGCGTTCTCCGGGGGAGGAAGGAGAGAGAGGTGTTCGTGATTTTGCGTTTGGAGGCCCCGTTTCCTCCCGGTTTCTAACCTGGTTTTCTGTCGGAGAAGAAGCTCGGGCTGCCGAAGGGCCAGAGCCTCGAGCGCAGAACGATCCGACGCCCCCCCGTTTTTAAAAGAAGGCGCCCCCAAAAAACACGTACGGAGAAAAAGTAAACTTTTCGAGTTACGCGTGAAATCGCCCACACGCCGCGGCCCGCGCGCTCTGCTTCGTCCGTCCTGGACGTGCGGATGGATTTTATCAAACAGTATTAAATGTGCCCGAACGTCAATTAATCACCCCCATGGTGCGTAAAGTAACGTTGCGCTTCTGGGTGCTCCGGTTCTTGAAAGCAAATCGAAAGGAAGAAGAGACGCTTAATAAAAATAGCCACCTCTTTCTAAGGACCGGACCCCGCAGCTCCTCGCCGGGCGAGGACACATTTTTCAAAAGTTACTGGGGGGGCTGGGGGGCTGGGGTGTTAATTTCCCGATACCGCTGACACACAGGCTCCACGAAAATCGAGAAAGCACGTTTCTGCGCCCACTTGCCTGGATTCTCGTCTGAAAAGCATTTACGCACAGATGCAATAAATATGCATCTGCGATCCTCAAAGAAAAAAATAAATCGTGAAACACAGTTTTATTGTGCAAAGAACGTCGCTTCCCCAGTGAGCCCCCCGCCTGCCTCGCTGCACTGGCTCTCCCTGAGAAACGCTGAGGCGAGACCCGCCCGGGTATTTGTCTTGATAACAACCCCTCCTCAGCCCCCAACCGGCCGGCCTAGTGCAGATACCTAATTGGCCTTCTTGGAAGAAAGACGGGGCGAGGGAGGAGGAGGGCACCGTGAGAGGCGTGAATACTGCCCGCCCGGAGGCTGCCGCCTAGCTGGACCAAGGCTCCCGACTCGGGACCTGAGATTCGCCCAGCACCAAAATTCCCCGTAAACACGTCCCAACTGCATTGAAGCCAGGAGCTCTCAGGCGCCGCGTTTCTTTTTTAAACAAATATACTTTCAACAAAGCCATCGCAACTGTTTAATTGTTTTGTAAAATTAGGAGGTGGGCCGCTCTGCTCTAAGGGAACATCCAGCTCAAATGTTGTGACTTTATATATAGAGTTCTGGGCTCCGAAAAACCAGGGGGCATCCTCTCCTTGTTTTAAACAGAAGCTCCATAAAGGATTGAGGGGTAAGCGGAAGAGACCTGGCAGAGATGTACAAGAGGGTTGGAAAGGGTCCTGCCAACATGTTTAAAAAACAATCTCCCCCCCCCGCCCCCCCAATCTACACATATGACTTGGAGGGCCGTTTCCAGTGTCCTGGGCCTCCTGCCCCTGCACGTTGAGTCATCCAGGCTGGTGGCTAAGTTGGAAGTCGCACTGCCAGAGCTGAGCTAAGGGTCAGGCAGGCAGAGCTGCAGGCCAGCAGGACGTGGGTAGGCTGGTGAGCCCTGCCTCTTGGCCAGACCAAAGAAGCCCCCGACCACATCTACCCCAAGCTACTTTCCCTATTTTTTTGTGCTGCTCTATGCCTGCCTGTGGCAGAGCTGACTGGCGGCCACGCTTTCTCCTGGAACCAGAATCCTATCAGTCCAGGGCACAGCACAAACCCTACCATCGGCAATGTGCCTGATTTGGGGTGTTTCACACAGAGAGAGAGGGCTCAGCTGGACTCCGGGATCAGCAAAAAAGTTGGCTCTCTGAAATGTACCCCAATTCCTGCCCGCAGAGCCCCCAGTGGACAAGAAGAGCAAGGTGCAAAGAGCAGGTCCCTCTCTGACCTCCAGATCGGGGGACCAAGGCCGGGATAGGCACTGTCGTGGGACTCAGCAAGAACCTTTCAGAGTAGAACCTGATACCTTCTCCAGGGCTCCGGCCTGCAACCCCGTTTCTAGGCCTCAGCCAAGCAGCTAACGAGATGGAGAATGGGCACCCCAGCTGCTCCCCTTCCCATCAGGGCCTGGATTTAGGAACAGTCCCTGGGCAGCTAGAGAGGCTGCAGTCATCACCAGGCATTGGTGGCCCAACCTTTTCCTGGAGGCTTGGGCACACACAGCCCCCTCTGAGCCCCGAACCATCTGAGAGCCTACCCATTCTGCACTCCCATCTAAAAGGGTCTTCTGGGACTCACCAGAAAGTTCTCAAAGGCACCCACTGGTCTCCACAATGCCTCCCTGGGGATCCCCACACCCCCTTTTTGGCTGTTGCTCCTCTCCTCTCTGCCTCCCTCCTAGTCACACTGCCAGGCACAGAAAACCAAAGGGTCCAAAGAAAAGCCTGCATTTACTCTGAACTGTCCCAGCACTTCGCCAGACAAATCCATAGTCTCAGCTAAAAACAAAAGTCAGCAGGTAGGGCTCAACCCACAGTCTCTGGACTCAACCCCGAGGCTTAGGCTATGCCAGGGCAGAGCAGACCACCCCCTTCTCCAACACAAACACTCTGCAAGAAAGAAGGCCTGCTGGGGAAGGCTGACTTGGGCAGTCGGTCACAGTCTCCACTCCCCCCAGCCAGGAGCCCCAGATTGTGGTTTGCCACCTCTTGAGGTCCTCTTCCCAGACAGCTTCTCCAGCCAGCAGGAATTAGAAGTGCAAAACACCCGCGTGGAACGGTTTGAGGAGAATGGACACTCTTTTCTATCAGGGACTACAAAGTACAACAGGCAGCGTGGTCTGATGGGGGCATCCTGAGCTGCTCCGGGAGTTCAGCCCCCGCTTTCCCAACTCCACTTCCTTGCTCTAGGAATCCCCAACCCCCCTAAAACCCTACCTTTGGGAAGCACACCGCCAAGGCCTGGCTCCCTACAGCACTGTTTTCGTTTGGAGATCATCTCTTGGGCCCCAGTTTAGGCCTCGGTGGGGCCAGGCCCTGTCCCTGCACGAAGGGACGGTATCCCCTAGCTGGCCAAGGGCCTTGTGCTGTAGCCCCAAACAGTGCAGGTTTCCGGGCAAAAGATGGCAACTAGGGGCGGCCGCAAGCCCCCGGCCACCACCCCACCGGTGGCGGCCAGGCTGGGACGCTTCGTCCCTGCCGGGAGACGCGCAGCCCCCGCGGCCCTCGGAGCTTGACGGGCCCAGCGGCGCGCCGAGCCGGCGGCTGGGCTGACGCGGGCCCGGCCTGGCAGTGGGGGCGGCCGGGCTCGAGTGCCGGGCGGCGGCGGGGACGAGAGGCGCTTACTGTTGGTAGTCTTGTTTGCAGTACAGTTTCCGATCCCGGAAGTAGCAGCTGGTGGTGAGGGCTTGCTGACACGCCGCGCACTGCAAACACTCCTCGTGCCAGGACGATTCGTTGACTCGCATCAGGAAGCGGTCGGAGATGGGCCGCTGGCAGCCCTCGCAGACGGCGGGATGCGGGCAGTCGGAGCCTGCGGCGCACAGGGCGAGAGCCGGGCCGTCAGCGCCGACCAGCCCGGCCCCGGCGTCCCGGCCGCGCCGTACCCACAGCCCGCGCCCCAAGGGCGAGGGCAACCCGGGAGCGCCGGCCGCCGCCTGCGCTCCCCCGGCCGCCGCACCAGGGGCCGGGCAGCCTCCGCTGGCTCGTCCCCGCCCGCGGACTCCCTCGCGGAGAGGCCGCGCGTGTCGAGCCTTGGCTCGGCGCTGCAACTCTCCCTTCCTCCGGAGATCCAGCGCTTGGTGGTGTTACTACATAGGAGAACCGGGCACGGCGCGGGGTAGCCGGCTGGGACCCAGACAGGCGAAGTGAGGCTGGGGCGCTGGCTGGCTGACACGCCCCACGGTGGCGTTCGCGATCTTCTGCCCCCAATCTCCCCAAAACCTGTAGTTTAGGTGGCCCAGGGGACATTTTTCTCTTAGAAGCGCCTTCCATCAACTAACCTGGCACCACTCCCAAGCTTGCTAAGGTGACTACTTGGGTCTTCCATCACCCTTGCCGTCCGCCTCCCACCCCCTCGGGAGTGGCAGCTCTAGCACCAGGGCCCAGTGAGGATGGTGGGTGGCAGCTGGAGCTGTCCTGGCCTCCCTCCTCCTGGGTGGTGTCCCTGCAAACCTCTGTCCCCTGAGGATGCCTGTTTAGGGGTGCCTGTTGCCCTTCTAGCGATCACTAGAGCCTAGTCTGTGCCCCCGCACCCCCATGTCCCGCAAACCGTTTCCTCATCCCGTTGGTCTAGACGCCCCTGTCGACCTCGGGAGAATGCCCCTGTCCCCTGCCCATGACCACTCAGGCGTTCTGACCCCGCACTCACCCAGCAGCACCCCCAGAGTGGCGGGCCCGGGGCGCAGGGCGTGCTCCTCCATCTTGATGCCGTCGAGCATCTTGGCGCAGTCCGTCTGCCCGCGGGGGAAGCACCTCTCCAGCGACTCGGGACCTGTTGCTATATCCATGGGACGCGGGGCGCGCCGCGGGCCCCGCCGGCCAGGGTGCCCGCCGGCCCGCCCGCCTGCCGGCTCGCCGCCGCCGCGGCCCCGGAGCCGGGGAGGCGCGGCCCCCGCGGGGTTGGGGCTGCGGCTGGGGCCGCCGGCCGCCCCCGGCGAGCGTGGAGCGCCGACGCGCTGGCCCCGGGCCCCGGCGTCGTGCGGGCGGGCCGGGGCGGCTGCAGTCCGCGCCGCGCTCTCCGGGGCACTCGCAGCCACGCGCGCCGGCTCCTCTGTCACCTGCTTGTCAGCCCCGGAGCCGGGTGCGGCGGCGGCGGCAGACGGAGCCGCGGGGAGGAGGCGGCGGCGGCGGCGGCGGCGGAGGCGGCGGCGGGCGGGGGAGGGGGCGGGGGTGCAGGGGCGGCCCCGCGGGCTGGGGGGGCGCGGGCGGCGCAGCGGGGTCCCGGGCGGGGCGCAGCGGGCCGCGGGGCTCCAGGCGCGCTCCCCGCACTACTCCAGTGCCATGGTGCGCCCGAGGAGCCGCTGGGTTTAGAGCTGGGGCTGGTGGCGGAGGGATACTCCGGCCGGGAGCCGCCTCACCCCTCCTCAAACTTCCTGACATTTGAACTCATTGGTGCGCCTCGTATCCCTGCGCCGGGATGAGCCGGCGGCTCCACGTCAAATAGTGCCGTCGCCGCGCCCCCCCACCCCCCGCGCGGGAGGGCTCCCCGCGCCCCCAGCTTGCGGCCCGCTCCGCGCCTGGCCCGGAGTGCGGGCCCTGGCGCCCCGGCCAGACCGAGCGCCCGCTGGCCTCTTGCACAAGTTTGGGTCACCTTCGAAACGAATCTTTCTGCCCCACCCCTTTGAAAAAATTGATTTGGGAGTTGGGGAATGAAGGCTTTCTTTTTTCTTTCTTGCCTCCTTTATAAATTACTATTTTGTAAAGCTTCAGCGCTAAGCGGAGTGGCCCCCAGCGAGGCCAGACTGCGCGGACGGCGGGGAGCGCAGCGGCTCCACCAGGGGAAGGCGCCGGCCGGGAGTGGCCGCCGGGGGACCCCGTGTGTCGGCCGAGGTAGGTCGCTCCGAGTTGAGTCGGCGTCCCCCGGGCGGCGGCGCCTTCCCAGAGCCGTTTTCGTCCGCGGAGAGTCTGGCCGCAGGATTGAGGGACGGAGACCGGCAGGAGGGAAGGGCTGCTGCCCCAGGACTGGCCAAACGGGGTCCTGGCCCAGGGAGAGGGGAGCTGGATCCCGGATTTGGGGTGAGGGGTCCGGAAAAGATTGAGGCGTGGCAGGGATTGGAGCGGTAGGTCAGGGGTGGAGCGGGAGGTCAAGGTCCTGCAAGTGTCCCGGGATCAAAGATGGGGGGACATTGGGCAGGCGAGGAGGGTCAGGCCCGGGCTCAGGCAGGGAGAGTTTAGAGGACGATTAGGTCTGAGAAAGGGGTCCCCGGGCGGAGGTGGGGGCATTGAATGAGAACCTGGCCTCGCAGCATTTCTAGTTGCACGGGTAGGGGGTGGTGCCTCGGAGGTCGGTAACTGAAGGCCCAGGACGACGTGCGTTCGGTTGCTCGATGGAAACGGGATTGGCCGCGGGGATAGGCTACTTTTGGTGACGGAGGGGCCGGGCTAGGGGTCTGTAGGCCTCACCTGGCAGGGGCAGCGCCCTGGTCAGATTGGGCAAAGCGGGCTTTGGCGCCCAGGAGCGAAAGGCTGGTAAAACGGAGCAGCGGACTCCCGCGCACGCTGGGCCTGGCGCCCGCCCCGCCTGGCACCGCGCTCGGCGCGCAGGCCGCTGCGTCGGGCTGCAGTGCACCGCGCCGAAGCTGGCCGTGTCTTGGGCTCCTGGGTCTCTACCAGAGGCGGGGCGCGCCCAGGAGCGAGGGGGGCAGGCGCGGGCTGACCCCTCGTGGCGCGGCGGGGCGGCCCCCGGCCCCTCTCGGAATGGAGCAGCGGCGCGGAGCGGGGCGGGGGCGGAGGGCACGGGAGGCGGGTCCCCTGACCCCGCTGGAGGCGAGAGGGCGGATCGGATTTGGAGCCTGCCGGAGGCTTGGTCAGAAGTGGCCCCCTATGCCGCGGGGCCCCAAGGAGGGGCCCGGCTTTGTGGAGGATTAGAAGCTCCCGCCCCACCCCAGTACCTGCATGTGTGTCGGTGGGTATCTGTGTGTGTCTGTGCGTGTCGATGCTCCCGCCTCGGAGTCTGTTGCATGCCTGTGCCCCGTGTCTCTGTGCAATACAATGTTTCTGTGTACCTGAGACTTTCTGGGTTTGGAGTGTGAATCTGTGCATCTGGGTGTGATTCCCGTGTGTGTGTGTGTGTGTGTGTGTGCGCGCGCGCGCGCGCATCTGCAGTTCCTAACATGCCTCTGTTATCTTCTGTGTTTTTGTAGGTCTTTGTGTGTGTCCCTGTGTCGGTGTCGTTGTTCGTGGGTGCCGACGTCTTTGTGTGTCTCTCAACCTCTATATTGTGTCTGTGATACTTTTCTTTTATGTGTCTTCCTGTCACCTTTGTGTGTCTGGGTGTATCTACGAGTTTCAGAATGATTCTGTGTGCTTGCTTGTCGCTCAGAGTTGTGTTTTTTTTTTGGGGGGGGGGATGTTGTGTCCGTCTCTGTGTGCGAGCCTGGCTTCGTGTCTCCGTGTATTTCTCTGCGTCTTTGTGTGTCTCTCTCCAGGACGGTGGATGAGTGGATGTGTAGCTTCTCTCGCGCTCCCTCGGTCCCTTGTCCTTGAGCAGCATGTAAGGTCCTGCGCTCCCAAATTTGGGCCTGGGCCTGGGCCGCCTTCCTGGGGCATCTGGGGCGGGGGTGCGGCAGCTGCTGGAGAAGCCGGGCGGGCAAAACTCCGGCGCCCAGAGCCCCGCGCAGGACAGGCAGACCGACCGGGCGCATTCTGCCCTCTGCTGGCAGCGTTACGTCCCTGCACCCGATGCCTGGAGGCGAAAAGGGTCCTGGTTTCGGGCCCACACCCTTGCCTTCTCCTTCAGAGCATACTTGGGAATCCTTTCCCGTCTCAGGCCTGGCACACTCACCCTGGAACGCACACTCTGGGTGCAGCGTTCCATCCTCCTCCCCGCTGCCTCCCCATCTTCCCTGTGACAAGTCTCTTCCTCTGCACATTTCTCCCCTTAGGCCAAATGGGAGCCCTTGCGGCACCCCCTCAGAGGATTCTCTGACCCTGAGGCTGGTTCAGAGCAGAGTCGGGCCACGGACTGCCCAGGGTCGCGTTCCCGGGGCCACCAGAAAGCCACATCTCAGTGTAGGAGGATGGCCCAGCAGCCCAGCTCTGCCCCCCCCCCCCCACTGGTCTGTCCTGGGGTGCGTAGGATCTTGGCACATCCCGCTGGTACGCCTGCCCGAGTCACAGCCCACACCACCAGGGCCGACATCGGAAAGGCCACGGATTGTGCTCAGAGCCAATTCTCGGCTGCCAGGGTGCAGGTCAGAACCTAGCACGGGCTGGCTGCTCATTGTGCTCTGGTCGTGGGGCTGCTCAGTCCACAAACCTGGGGTCCCTCTCCATGTCCTCCCTGCCCAGTGACTAGTCATCCCCTCACCACACCCCCACAGTCTGGATCACCATATAAGTCCTTTTCTTTCCCCCTTGTCGCTGCTCCCAGCGTCCTTCTTTCCCGGAGCTGAGTCTCCGTCCCGAGTGCTTCGCACACAGATGCGCAGAGCACCCAAGGCTCTCCCAAGCACAATCACAGCTCCTGCCCTCCCCACCGCTTCCCCTGCTGAAGTGGCTGGCTGGAAGGTGTTGGCCTAGGCCCTGAGGCCGGCACTGCCCTTAGACAGTGAGCCGCGTCTAGCTCCGAGCAACAGAGCCCACTCCATCCGGCACCCACTGACACCCTCCCCGGGCGGTTCTGTACTCACAACGCCCGCGGCCATCCGCACCCCGGCACTCCGCTGATCCGGGATTTTCTGTGGCTTGGACTTCAGCCGCAGAAACAGCTTCAGATTTTCTCCATCTAAGGAAAGACCCAGCTGGCTGTTTGGAATTGCTTGGAAGGAAGCAAGAACCAAGAGGGAAGCTCTAGGTGGGAATCCTAGCTCCCCCAATCCCGCGGATGCTTCACCTCCACAGAGCCCTTCCCTATACCCCCTCGCTCCTCTCTTTAGGGGACTTGCACTTCCTGCGCCTGCCTGTGCTACTTGGCCTTCCCCAAGGCAATGCTCCCCTCTCCCTCCTCACAATGGAGTTCTGTCTATCCTTCCTGGGCTCTGCTTCCTACCAGAGCTGAGTGGAGGGTCTCTTCCCAGCTTACAGCCCCAGCTAGAAGCAAGGATCCTGGGCTGGGATGGAGTACAGGGCGAAGCCAGCGGAGTGCCGCTGAGCAGGAAGGCGCGGAGGGGGAGCTGCACGGGATGCGGGATTCCAACCTGCCTGGCGAGTCAGGGTTGTCGGGAGGCCAGAGTTCTCAGACCTGTCCCACACGACCGCGCACCACTGGCCCCAGTGATCCTCAGATCCCTGGGAAGCGGACTGGACCAGAGCCACCCCAAGACTCAGCCTGGGTTGGGGGCCCGCTATTCCCAGGCGGCAGCTGGGATCTGGAGATCCAGGAGCTCTGCAAGGGGAGCAGGACAGCAGCATCAGAGGTGGAGTGGCCTGGCCTTTGGAGCCAGTGCTAGCCGTGCTCTCTTCTGAGGACCGCAGCGTGTTTGGCCCCAGGACACGTGGGCGCAAAGGCTCAGGCACTTCTCAGCTAGCAGAGACAAGAATGTGTGTAATAGGTACCCCGGTCACCTTCCCACAGCCCAGAGAAAAGTGTCTAAGGTCTTCCCGTTCCTGCGGGTGGGCGGCTCACACAGCCCCTGAGCCAGGTGGAGGGCCAGAAAGGAAGAGTGACTGAGGGCAGGGCCAAACTGGGGTCCCCCTGACTCAGGGCTGAGAGTGGGTTCTCACTCCCATCTGGGATTTTCTAGGCTAGTGAGGGGGAGGTGGCAGGGGACAGGATTTCAGGCAGAGTTTGCTGCTGAGACACAGTGTGTGTGGCTTCGAGACTGTGTGCTAGTACATGCCTGTGTGC